GTAAACTTATCATCAATTTCAATATGAAAAACCTAATAATAATGCAAAAATTTCAAAAAGAAAATAATTAAAAAAACTAACCCTCGTTGGTTGATTTGGTTGATTTTCCATTTCTGATTGTGAGGGTGGCTCTGAGAGATGGAGATAGACGGATTTCGCCGGAGATGGGGACGGATTTCGTCGGAGATGGGTGAGAGAGTGAGAGATGGAGATGGGACTGAGTTGTGATTTTAGGTTTTAGGTTATGAGTTGCGATTACGGGATATACTGTGGACAGTTCAGTGTTCCAATATATTAATATTCGTGTTTGGAATTTAAAAATAAAATACTTGGTCAGGATACTAATGGCGCTTTGAAAATCGCATTGCGATTATGTATTATCGCGTTGCGAAAGTCAGTATCGCGTTGCGAAAGTAAGTATCTCGTTGCGATTTTTTATTATCACATTGCGATAGTCAGTATCACATTGTGATTTTCCCAATTCGCGTTGCGATTTACTTATTCGCATTGCGATTTTCCCAATTCGCGTTGCGATTTACTTATTCGCATTGCGAATTGGGAAAATCGCAACGATACTGTAGACCATCGCAACGCGATTTTCAACTATCGCATTGCGAAAATGCAACGTGAATTTGCGATAATGGAGATCGCGTTGCGAATTAGCGATCGCATTGCGATTTTGTTGGTCATTTTGGCAAATCCGGAAAAAGTTGGTTAAAATCGTATATTATATGAGATTTTTGGTCACTGAGGTTATTTTCTCTAAATAAAAAGTATAAATGCCATTTATCTATGGGTAAAGTACATAAGTGATCCTTCGAGTATAGGGCACTATTTATTGAGTCTTATGAAGTTATGAAATGGTCCATTGATTATAGGACATTGCTTGGTTAAGTTACTCTACTATTAAAAGTTACAAAATGATCACCCAACTATTTATATGTTCTAAACTCATCTTTTTATGTTAAAATTTGACGATTTCCTGAGCTAGATGTTATCTTGCTGACTGTGATATAGTTAAGTCTGATCCCAAAATCTCAAACGATTATCATATCTCAGTCAACATATTAATGTTCAACCAAGATTGTCATCAATTTTTAACGAAAAAGTACGAGTTTGAAACATATGAATAGTCAGCTGAGCATTTTGTAACTTATAATAGTTGAGGGAAAAGCAATGTCCAATAGTCGAAGGATCATTAAATAACTTTTAATAGTCTAGGGATTTAAAAACAACAATCTATAGTTGGGTGACCGTTTCTATATTTTCCCTAATTATTTTTGTTGGATGAGAGTAATGTATGCGTTAGCCACTAACCACCACGTGAGCCTGTCAAATGTTAACTAGGGTAGTACCGTTTTGGAGAATACAAAAAGCAAACAAAAAAGTTTCATATACAACTGTGAAGGCCTTTTGTTTCAAACTTGGATTTGACTTTGTACACTCCAGATTATTCTAAGCAAACGGTAAGCTTCTTCTTCTTTTACTTGAACCATCCATTAGTAGTTCACTTGTCACAGTGTTGAATCCAACACTAAGCTTTAGTTTTATTTTTTCAATCTCATTATAAAAAATGATTGATAGATGGATGTATGCTGCGACCTGGAATCTGGATTTCGGATTCCGCTGTAGAACGAATTAACACAAGAATTTTCCCTTATTTTTTTGCCTTCTCTCTTTCGTTTCATTGATAAAACTGAGCTTGTATTTGTTCTGTTGTGGTTTAGTTGACCAATGGATTCTCAGACCAACACCGAGGACTGCCTCGCGTGGGCCGCCACAGATCCATCTGGAGTTTTATCACCATACAAATTCAGTCGCAGGTGCGTCGGACTCGTTCTTTCTTTTTACCTCCCGATTGACCTATTTTTAAGTTATTGCCGATTTCACAGAACAGAATAATACAAGGAATCTTTCTTGTAGCACCATTCATTCGTTTGACTATTAGAAACTACTAAACCTTATACCAAATACGTGTTCTTCTCGGCCTGACTGATGTTTGTTTGAGGCAGTAATTTTCAATGTCTTTTGTTGACTTTGTCCTATAACTAATGTATTCAGGCCTCTCGGAAGTGACGATGTCTCCATTAAAATTACTCACTGTGGAATCTGCTACGCTGATGTTATTTGGTCGAGGAATATGCTTGGAGATTCAAAGTATCCTGTGGTGCCAGGGTATGATATTTTTTTCTTTCTTTTTTAAAATTGTGAATTATCATTGCTTTTCTAGATTTGATCTTAAGCTGATATGGTTTTTATAATTGTTTCCATTTCAGGCATGAGATTGCTGGTATTGTGAAGGAGATCGGTTCCAATGTTCAACGCTTCAAGGTCGGTGATCACGTTGGAGTGGGAACTTATGTAAACTCATGCAGAGATTGTGAGTATTGTAATGTTGGCTTCGAAGTTCATTGTGAAAAACCGAAGGTTCCCACGTTTAATGGTATTGATGTGGATGGAACGGTCACAAAAGGTGGATATTCTAGCTTTATTGTTGTCCATGAAAGGTAAGCATTTCATGATTCATAACTATGTTTCTCCAATTCTTGTTTTGGAGGCTATTATATATTTACTAATAAATTCTAAGCTGAATTTTAACTTCATGAGTTTTCATTGCATGAAGCTGTTTCTTACAAGTTAGATCTGTGATAAGATATCCTCCCAACAGTTTTATGTGATCCCACTGCCTAAAACTATGATTCAAATGGGGTTTTCTTTCTTTTGTTATGATTTGAGCTTATATTTGTTGCTTTGCTATATAAGTTTTCTAGGTGTTATTAGGTTAGCTTTTCAGGATACTTCTTCCAATAACTGCACTTTAATTTGGAGATGTTATAGGTACAGATCATCAGGAGTAAAAATACTTAATTTACAAGCAACTGTTTGATTTATAGCTGTTGCACCGTTACAAGATATAAAGTTGAAACTTGAATTTAATCATCTAATAATTCCCAAGTAAAAGAGACTATAACAAAATGCTGGATTTAATAGTGTATAACAATTTTATATTGTATATTTTCTAGAGTTAATTTACTCATTTTCTGCAATTTTAATGTTCCACAGCCATGGAAAAAGTCTATGAATGATAAAATTGTTACCTTTGTTGTTGAATCAACAGGTACTGCTTCAAAATACCAAACAACTATGCTTTGGCTTCAGCAGCACCTCTGCTTTGTGCTGGAATCACTGTTTATACACCAATGATGCGCCATAACATGAACCAACCTGGAAAATCTTTAGGAGTGATCGGGCTTGGTGGTCTTGGTCACATGGCAGTTAAGTTCGGTAAGGCGTTTGGGTTGAATGTAACAGTTCTTAGCACCAGCATATCTAAGAAAGAGGAGGCTCTGAGACTGCTTGGTGCAGACAAATTTGTTGTCTCTTCTGACCAGGAGCAAATGAAGGTACTTATTAAGGAGTCAATATCTTAGAAGCTAATATTATAATAGGGAGAGGATCGACCTACATAGAAGTTTTATACATTTTTGAGGTTGTCTATTTTCACTCATCCAATGATTCTAAAAATGTGAAAAAAAAGTTTACACTGTGTAAGTGAATCCTAACCCTTTATAATAATTCATAATTATTGACCTTACAGGAGCTTGTGATTTTGGTGCAGGACCTATCAAAATCATTGGACTTTATAGTCGACACTGCATCTGGTAATCATCCATTTGATCCCTACCTGTCACTTTTGAAGACTGCTGGTGTTTATGCCCTTGTCGGGTTCCCAAGTGAAGTCAAATTCAGCCCTGCAAGTCTTAATCTGGGTATAGAACAGTATTTTTGATATTATGTGTTGAATTTATTGTTCTCATTTGGTCAATTGTAAATCTAAGTTGATTGAATTCACCATTTGGGCTGGCAGGTATGAAAATGTTGGCAGGAAGCATGACAGGGGGAACAAAAATGATTCAAGAAATGATAGACTTCTGTGCTGCTCAAAAAATTTACCCACAGATAGAGGTAATACCAATCCAATATGCCAATGAAGCTCTTGAAAGGCTGGTAAAGAGGGATGTTAAGTATCGTTTCGTGATCGACATCGAGAACACCCTGAAATGAGATTATTGCGATGTCATCGGTAACAAAGGCTTATAAATCTACATATTGAAGTACATACACTGAACGCATCAGGATCAGCATTGATCTTAGATGGTGAGCATGAACTTCTGCAAATATCTAGTGAATGGGCATGAATCCCGTCACTGAAGATAAACTGTGTTATATAGAGTGAATTTGATCAATTTGAATTTTAATAGACCTTTTCGATTGGTTTCTTCGTTGATTTTGGGGCAAAAGCTGTTCTTTTTACTTTTCTCAACATATTGCCTCTCTTGTGACGATTTGTAGTGGCTACTGGACATCTGTTGGTGTAATCAACTAGCCCATTTGTTATCGAGATTTACTGATATTAGAATCATCTTAAAAACCAGGGTTTTTAGACAAACTCTAAGGAAATAATAATCAATTGAATGATACAAAAATATTGTTGTACATTCTTCCTTATTCGATTTATTCTCAAATTTAATCTAATTTATTAAAAAGTATAAATAAAATTCAAATACAAATTTGCAATTAAAAAAAAATACTTTTTTACTAGTCTTGGCAGTTTCAAATGGCAAAGATGCTCGTTCTCTGTCCCAACAACAGGATGTTGTGTTGAAAGCACGAAATGATAGCCGCCCCATTAATCGATTCAGCAGCCAGGGGAGGGTCCAGTTTGCAGGCTGCAGAAGTTCATATATGGCCTGAAACAAGCTTCGACTTCTGCTGGTTTTCAACATAGCAGATTTGACTATTCAATGTTTACCAAAAGAAGGGGTGATAAACTGGCTGTGATGTTGATTTATGTGGATGGCTTGTTTATAACTGGAAATAGTTAAGAGTCAGTTACTGAGTTGGAGATTTTGCATAAAAACTTCAAGATGAAGGATTTGGGAAGTTTGAAATTTTTTTTTGGTTTTGAGAGAATTTTGATAAATCAAAGAAATTATGCAATGGAACTTATTGAAGATGCCGGATTAGGAGGTGCAAAACCAGCTCTAACACCTTCACAGCAGAATTTAAAGCTTATAACTGTGGATTTTAATCAAGGGTTACAACAAGAATCCAGTGACTTGGCTTTGGAGGATAAGTCTCACTTTGAAAGATAAGTTAGTTTATTAAAGGTTGATAGGGAGATTGTTGTATTTGACTCAACACCAGGCCAGAAAATACCTTTGTTGTTCAACATTTAAGTCAATTCATGGAGGAGCCTAAAACTTCTCATTTGGAGGCAGCTTTGAGAGTGGTGAGATATGTCAAACGGAATCATGGTCAAGGTTTATTATGTGCAGCAGAACGAGAGACAAATACGGTTGCTTTATGCGACTCAGAGTGGGCTCCCTGTGTGATGTCAAGAAGATCAGTCACAGGTTTCAACATTAAGTTGGGCAAGTCCTTGACTTCTTGGAAATCCAAGAAACAAAGTACCATAGCACGTTCTTCAACAGAAGCTGAATATAGGAGCATGACAATGACAGTGGTAAAAATCTTTTGGTTAACTGGTTTGCTGAAAGAATTGAGAATGAAGACTGACCCCAGTTGGGATTTTTAGTGATAGTAAGTCAGCTATTCAAATAGTAGCTAATTTTGTTTTCCATGAGAAAACTAAGTATATTGAAATCGATTGTGATTTTATCCGATAGAAGTTGCAGTCAAAGCTGATACAAACAGAGTGAATGGTTACAACAAATCAGATTGCAGATATCTTTATAAAAGCGTTAGAACACAACAACATAATTATCTGATGGGCAAGTTAGGAATTAAAAACGTTTTTAATTGTCAACTTGAGAGGGAGTGTTGAAATAATATGTAGCTAGTCTGTTTGTAATTTGTTTGTAGGTTGTTAATGATTAGTTACAGATAAGCAGTTATAGACAGCTATCTTTGTTAGATTGTATGAGAGTTATATAAACACTTTGTACATTTATTTTGTGTGGGAAAATTCTACAACGCTCGATGAGTACTGATAAGAACAATTAACGATAAGTATTATTAATTTAATTTATAAAATTTAAAATTCTAAAGAGGTCAACATATAATTATAAATTAGTTAAAAATTAAAAAAGTAAATTATTTAAAATAAAGGGTAAACTATACCAATGACCACCTAACTATTGCCCCTTTTCATTTTGACTATCATTTTTGAAATTTTATCAATCAGATCACTCAACTATTTAAATACGTTCAATTAAACTACTTGTCGTTATTATTTAACAGATTAGTTGATATGACAGTTAAAATATTTGGTATAATTACATATTTGGTCACCGTTACTTTATATATTCTATCATTTTGGTCCTAATTTTAATAAATTAAAATAAATTTAACCCTCAAATCAAATGGTGTCATGTGTCACTGGCGCCAAGTGTAATGATATATGTCACCATCTGATTGGACGATTAAACTTATTTTAATTTATTTTTAATTTAATATATTTTTCTCACCAACCAGAGGGCGACATAGAGTAAAAATAGATGGGTTTTAAATTGTTTTTTTAATAGGTATTATTCTAAGAAATTTTATATTTATTAGGTAGTTATATATTTAACCTTTTTAGTGTCCATGTTCAAAAATTTCTTGTAATATACAGATTACAGGTTTTTAACTAAAAATAACATTTATAAACGTTAGGGAATTAAAGGGAGTATTATGTGTAATATGGAAGGGGTCACGATTCTCTAAATGTTTTTGGACTTTTTAGGCCTCTTTTAACTTTATTTTTAAATCAGGTCAATTAGATCATAATTTTCATTTTTGGATATAATTTGTTTCTTAGATTTCTCTTAGTTTTAAAATGAGGTAACTTAGGTCTTGATCTACCTTTTTTTGGTTTTAATATTTTTAGATTTATTTTAAATTTGAAATTAAAAAATAAATTTAAAATTTAAAATTAGGATCAAACTGATTAAATATATAAGTATCACTGATCAAATGTGTAATTATATCAAATATTTTAACCGTCATATCAACTTATCTGTTAAATATTAATGGCAAGTGGCTTAATTTAATGCATTTAAATAGTTGAGTGATCTGATTGACAAATTTTCAAAAATGATAGTCAAAATGAAAAGGGGCAATAGTTAGGTGTCATTGATATACCGTTTATTTTAAATAATTTACCTTTAAACTTTTAACTAATTTATAATTATATGTTGAATCATTTAGAATTATAAACTTTTATAAATTAAATTAATGATGATCATCGTTAATGGTGCCCATCAATACTCGTTGCGTGTGATAGACTTTTCCTATTTTGTGATATGAGAATTGTCGTAATTGTCCTTCGGGTGGGCTTGAAATCGGGCCTTCGACTTAAATAAAACATGTTAGAGCCACAACCGATCATTTTTTTAAATTAGGTTGATCGGACATCTTAATTTATCATCTTACATGATCTGTTTTTTACCAGAAATATGTTGGATTCGGGAGTCAGTTACAGTCAAGGAATGATTAGCACCCTTGTACTGCCTTTTTGGTACCAATTTAATTTCACGATTGTCTTAATTGTGAAAATTAAAACTTAAATTAAAAATTCGATCCAAATTGCTTATCATTGATCGATTAAAATTGCCCCTAAGAAAAAGTCAAAAATGTTAGATTGAAAGATAAATATTAAATACATCAAAGAGATAGAGAAAAATTTAAATTAAGAAAATAAAAATCAGATAAAAATAAAAAGGTTAAAAGAGAAAAATAAAATAAAATAAGATGAAGAAAATATTAAAATTTAAAAGAAAAATAAAAAAAAAAAAAATGTATAAATGTTAAATTTCAAGAGAAATAATAGAAAAATAAAAATAAAGAAAATGTTATTTTTTTCAAATTGATGCAAAAAAATGAGCTGCAAGAAATATTAAAATGGTTAGGGGGTTAAATTGCATAAATATAAAAATATAAATAGGGATTAAATTGAATTAATTCAAAATCTAAGGGCAAAATTACAATAGGTGATCAAAACGAATTACACATCAAACCTACGGGGACTGTGGAAATAATTTAAGTATTTACTAATTACACCAAGATCCCCCTTATAAAATAGCCAAAAAATCAGAAAAAAATTCATTTTCACTATTCCTCTCAAATATTAAACCCCCCAAATATTCTTTCATCTCTCCTTTAGTCGGACGAATATCGACGACTTCCCGACGAGACACCCAGCCTAGATCGCCGCTCTGGCCACCGCCTTTGGTGGCCGAAAAAAATCAAACTTAATCAAAATGTTCCTCTCAACCCCGTGAGTATGGGACCAAAGCCCGATTACCCCCAAAAAGGCCCCAATCGATGTAGATGTAGATGTAGATCTAGATTTAAAGTTTCATTTTTTACCTTTAAATCGGCGACTCTTCGGGCTCCGGCAGTTCTGTAGAAAAAATCGAGGCTCAAACTTGGTTTTTATGATTTTCTTGGTAGTACACCGAATGTTTTTTTTTGGCTTTATGCTTTGTTTCTTACTACTTTGATGCTTGGGATTCTTGATTCTTCGACGTTTTCCATTTGGTTTCTCTTGCTTATGTTTCTGTGTTGCTATATCATGTCCTATGTTTAGTTTCTCTTGGTGTATTTATATAGCCCCTGATGGGGAAGGGCTATTTCCGATCATAATGGGGGACGTTTCCCTCGTCTCCGTTTTACTCGGGCCTGCCACCATTCATGTTGGGCGGGGATATGGGGAAACTATTTTCCCAATTTTGTTTTGATTTTAAAATCGTGCTTCAATTTGCTCTGCCCCGAAAATCTTGGCCGGTTGTCCTCCACGTGTTATTGACCGATGACCGCTGGGTCTCCTGATTTGTTGTGGGTCATTGGATCAATTGATCCGATCCAACGGTTGTCATGCTTGCAACGCCTTTGATAAATGTTGAAACCCTAACCTATTGGACTTCCATAGCTTGGCAACTTGCCTACTAGGTCAGGCGGGCTTGTGGTTGGGCTTCCCATTAGATCTGCTTGTTGGGTCAGGCTTGCAGGCTCGGTTGTGCTTCACTTTTGGACTTGAGCTTTGGATTTTTGGACTTATTGGACCCTAAAAAATGAACAATAATATTAATAACAATATAATATAATATATTAAATACAACAACAACAACAACAAAACCCTGATTCCCATATACAATGGGGTAAGGGGAAGGTAGGGTAGTAGGTTGACCCCAACGCCAGGTTGAGAGCAGCTTCTGTGGAAGACCTCCGGCAGTTAGAAAATTAAAAATAAAGATAAGATGCAAATGCGTGTATAAATAAATAAATAAATACATAGATGAACAGTCTTCATATGTGTTGAGTTAATCGATCGACGGAATCGGCCAAGAGGGGGTGAATTGGCAATTAAAAATTTCGTGGAAGCTTTTGCAGAAAATTGAAAGTAATTGCACAGCGATTTACAGTGATTTGACTTTCTCAAACAAAGTCTACGTCCACTACCTTAGCTATCCACACTAAGGATTTTCCAACAAATTCACTAATTTGTTCTTTATTTTGAGGCCAAAGAGATAACCTTACAAAATCCCTCAAGAGTATACCCCAACTCTTGAGAACACTCTTTTTCCCAAAGAGAAGATTACAAATTTGCAAACTTATAAGAAAACCTCACAAGGTAAGATGTTTGCACAATTCTAGAACAAAGAAAAGAACACTCAAAGATAAATACAATTGAGTACAAAAGTGTTCTTGAAAGCAAATGAATATTGGATGAAAAATAGGCTTGAAATGATCAAACTTGAGGTTTGATGCTTTCTCTTTGATTCTCACTTGATTCTAGTTGCTTGATGTTTCTTGTTATTGATCAATGGCTTCAGAACTTGTTTAAATACCCCTTGAATCAATTCTGAACGTTGGTGATAATTAGTGGAGTCAATAGAGCCGTTATTGTGTGAAAACAATTAATTTTCTGGGTGGAGCGTCTCATGCATCGATGCATGATCAAGGATGCATCGGTGCATTCGTGTAAAATTCAAATATTTTGACCGTTGGAACACTTGATGCATCGGTGCACCAAGTGTGCATCGATGCATGAAATGCATTCGATGTTTGAAAAATAGCCTGGTGCATCGATGCATGGCTTGTGCATCGATGCATCAAATGCATTCGATGTTTTGAAAATATTCAGAGTGCATCGATGCATGGAGAATGCATCAGTGCATGGAATGCATTCGATGTTTCAATTAATTCATCGATGCATCGATGCATGGACTGATGCATCGGTGCATGCCTTTGAATAATTGATTTAAGGCTTGTTTTTGGTTCAAAATACTTTGTGAAAATTGTTTCAAAAATAGTTTAAATACAAATCACAATTTTACACATTTAGTAAGGATTAAAATTTATCTTGAAAAACTTGGAGTAAAAATTTGATATTCGGTTAATTGAATCAAATATAAATTTGTAAAATCATTTGTAAAATCTTAAAATTCATTTAACTTAATTTGTTATATCGAAATATCAAAAATGTTTTCAACAATCTCCCCCTTTTTGATATAACAAAACATTTAAGTAATTTTAAGATTTGTTTAAGAAATTATTTTTGAAATCGATTTTGAAAAACTTACTCCCCCTTAC